TTACTTGCTAAAACTGTTGTATTTCAACGTGTTCTAAATTTTCCATGTTTTTAATTGCATTTAACTATAAGTGAGTAATACAAACTGGTTGTTTCAGCAACTAGAGACCATAAAGGTTCACTCAATGCAGTGAACTTGTATTTTCCATACATTTAGATATTCCTGACGATTGGCCCTGGATAATTCTATCATAATAGTTTTCCTAAATGGACACTTTGCACATGCGCGGAGTTGTCTGGCGAATTTTCACAGCACCTCTGTTGAAGACTGTTTAACTTAAACAAGAGATAAAATGGTGAGCTTCTAGCGTAGTAACAGCGTGTGCTGTTTCAATAATACAACTGTGGAACACCATATAATTGTGAAGTATATAATTCTTTAAGAATGGCAAACAACTTCTAGGGTATGCTTCAGAAGGCTGCTCTTCAAAAACAGTGAAGCACTCATCCACCATTATTCGAAATTAGTTTGAATAACGCGACAGTCGCCGTTTTCGCCAGCACAATCGCTGAATCTCTAGTTAGTTAGACAATTTTAGGAAGAACTTGAACTGGTGAAACCTGTTCTGTATTTGTCGACTATAGTACTTATCGAGTAAACTTAGTCAAATGAGCTATCTTTTGATATGTTTGGGAATTTGTGCCATGCTGAAATTGTGGTTATGTTTTGTTGAAATTATATGACATGATGGTGAAGTCTTTTTTAATATAAGAGTGTCTATATATCGTTTAGTTTGCAGTGACCAAGTTGTATTTAATGTTGGGAGGAACGAGTTAACGTTTCGATACATTGACTAAGGTGTTATGATTGTATGGTTGGTGTATACTAACATTTAGGTTGCAAAGCTCAAGTTATATTGTATTTACATTAAGAGGAAAGTAGAAACTGTTTACGTTTAGTGATCAAGATATGTTGATTGTGCACTGGTACGTAATGTAACTTCAGTGTTCATTAACTTAGCTGGCTGAACGTTGGAAGGGGTATGACATTTATTTGTAGTTGCCGCACAATATTCACACCATAGTATGTTGAGAGTATTGTGTTGGTCATATGGTGGTGCATAATATCATTAGTTTCTAAAGATCCAAGAAATTGTTGGTTGTACGGTAGTGAATAATGTCATTATTTTGTAACGATCCAGCTACATTGTGTTGGTTGTAAGATAGTGGATAATGTCATTATTTGTGCAGTGATCCAGCTACATTGTGTTGGTTGTACGGTAGTGAATAATGTCATTGTTTTGTGACGATCCAGCTACATTGTGTTGGTTGTAATACAACCAACACAATGTAGCTGGATCGTCATAAAACAATGACATTATTCACTACCGTACAACCAACACAATGTAGCTGGATCGTCACAAAACAATGACATTATTCACTACCGTACAACCAACACAATATAGCTGGATCACTGCACAAATAATGACATTATTCACTACCTGGTAGTGAATAATGTCATTATTTGTGCACGATCCAGCTATATTGAAAGTTTGATGTTATCAATAAAGTAGGCAGTAACCTAGCAATAAGTCGAGAAAAATATCTTCTTTTCAATTACATTTGCTATAATCATAAGACATTAGTACTAGGCCTATTACATTTTTAAACTCTACATTCTTAATTTAGTTCTTTAGGGATTTTCAAGAATTAGAAGAGTAGCTTGTTTGTTCGTTTGAGTTTTAATGTGCTATTTACTCTATATCAGCCATGAGGATCGAATCTCGAGTTTTAGCGTTGTAAGCCCTCACGCTTGCCTCTGAAAAACCACAGGACAGTGGTGTAAGTGTGTTAAATGTTCATATATTAAATAAGAGCAATATTAACTTTTGGTGTATGGCGTAACTAACAATTTGAACGGAGTGTATTATATGACGTTTACTTATTGTCAACCTTGCTGGGTTAAAAGAGAGTTGGTACAGCTTGAATTCATAGTGATCTTAATATATTCATTGTGAGCAAATGAATTTCTTATCACCACAAGGTGAAGAAAACTCGATTTGAAACTGAAGAAGGATGTATGTGTATATATATATATATATAATAAAAAACCAATCTCTACCGTTTAGTATAGTTGTAATAAGCTTAGGGTGATGTAGAGAAATGCTGTGCAGTGATTTGAACTTGGTGAACATGGTGCTGGTGTATATTAATACTTAGGATCTGGCGATCTATTATGTTAAACTACAGTATTGAAATAACATTTAGTAAACAGGAGACCTGGTGATTACAAAGGCCATTACAGTACTTTTATCTTCGATTTCTTCAAGAATTCTAGAGTCGACTTAGCCGTAAGCTACAACTTCAGCCAATCAGCCTATGAATAGATTGTATCATTGTACTTTATAGAATATTTTGATACATGGTTACATTCATTCACTCTTCAATCAAAATGAATGTCTCTAGTTTTTATGTTGCTAAAATACTTCCAGATCATGATCGAATCACCAACATGTTTAACTGCAGGTACAAAATATTCTTCTTTCCTTTTTGTTTCTCTCTCCAAATATACCGTGGTCCATTTGGGAGAGGGGGATTTTTATTTTAATCTCACCGGACCACAGAATTTTGTGAAAGTATATTTTAAGATTCCTATATATATTTCTTGGCAAATTTTAGACGGTTTCTTTTGTGAATTTTCTTAAAAAGTGGTTCACAGTGAGGTATACGTGCATACCACTTTTTTCTTTCATTTAGATACCTTTGAACAGTCCTTTTGAGTACAATCATCCTTGATGCTTCTAAATCTTTCTTTAGATAATTGGCTGTTAATTTTGAATGTATTCGAGCTTCTCGGGTGTTTTTTTCCTACCTGCCATACCCGTGGAATCACACCTCTGGACATACATTTCTTTCAAGCGTTTCAGTTAAATTTATTCTGTAGTACTTTTTGATCATTACTCTGTTTGTGGATTTTTGTACTGCATATTTCTTCGACGTGTTTTATCTCTACCATCATCAAAGTCCTCCTTCAGTTTGATATGTTCTGATTTTCACGCAAAGCTACACGAGGGCTATCTGCACTAGCCGTCCATAATTTAGTAGCGAAAGACAAAAAGGAAGACAACTAGTTATCTCTACCCACCGCCAACTTTTGGGCCACTCTTTTACAAATGAATAGTGGTATTCACTGTCACATTATAAAGCCCCCACGGCTGAAAGGGTGTGTATGTTCGGTGATGGGGATTCGAACCCAGACCCGTAGATTGCCATTCCAGACCATTTCCTACTATGTTAACGAAAATATGAAGAATTAAAATACACTGAACTTAAATTTTCTGCAATGTCTTTTTTTACTTTTTTAATACTGATTTAGAGTTTTGACGTTTTGGAAAATCTAAAGGTAGCATATTTGCATTGACCTAACCGTAATTCAATAACTATAACAAAAGCTCAGACTATTTTAACGTTCATTTTATCTCAATTTTCAATATTTTAATTATATTTCGAAATAATATTTTATTAAATTCATGATAAATCAGTTAAAGGTTTCGTCTAACAAAAGAAAGAACGAAGTGAACACAATGAAGCTACTTTAATAAATGAAGAACCTCTAAGAACTTTTCAATCCAAAGCTTCAAAAATATAACACCGTAAATATAATACATTCAGTTCACATCTTATTAAACAACAGGTGTTTTCAACAATTATTTTACACTTAATTAGTTTACATTCAGTTCACATCTTATTAAACAACAGGTATTTTCAACAATTACTTTACACTTAATTAGCTTACATTCAGTTCATATCTTATTAAACAACAGGATTTTCAACAATTACTTTGCACTTAATTAGCTTGATTACTTTAGTATATACTGGTTTTCTTTCAGGAGATCTTAACTTTCTTCTGTTTCTGGTGTTTTGTAACGTACACGTGCCAGACTTTGTATAGAATCCCTATTAAAGTCTCCACTGCGCGAGTGACTTCCTTTATCAAAACCGTTTCGTTTTTGTTACATCATTTATTTAACGCACATCGGAAACTGTCCTAGTTCTGTCTTGGTATTTTAATTATAATGTCTACCTAAAAATCCTTTACAACACCATTTTAATGTATAACTCGTTAGGATAGCACATGATGTCCATTAACCATACATCGTTTCATCAGAAGACAAAAACATGTGATTCTATAGGAAACAGATTTGCATTGAAGGCGATTGCAGTATACATAAAAACAGTTTGAGACGGTAAAATCTATCACCGCTGACTGTCAGAAACGCGTGTATATGTGATGTTAATGATAATTTAAAAGTCATGAGATAACTCTAATTACAGTTTGGCAAAATAGAGTTTATGGCCTAGAAGTTTACGATTATGTAAAATAATTGTTATTACTTAATATTTTGCATGATCTTTGACAATCTATCCACGATTTACAAAATTCAGTGATATATACCTATCGAGGATTAGGTGTTTCCCCAAATGTGGTTATTTGTAGTAACAAGATAAAATATATAATGCTTATTTTTCGAAATATAATTTAAAATTTATAAAGAAAATTTCGTCCAATCACAAATATGTTTTGTTTATATTAAAATAAGACTTGATGATGAGTACTGTTCGTCACCGTTCTAAGGATAAGACAGTTACAGAAAAATAAAGATGTTTTAAAAGTTGAGTATAAAAATGTAAGATGTTTGAGTATTTGACGAAGTATTTGTTGTAAAACCAGACTTCTGGGAATCTCAGATCCGATCCATTTCTTTAGCACATCACAAATAGACTTCATTGCTGTGACTACTGAGCATCATATCATATGAAAATTAAGATTATATTAAAACTCTAAACTCACATGACTTTGAAATGACAAAATTAATTCAGAAATAATTGAAACACAATGTTGTGCAATAAACCCATATTACAATATGCATAAAAACAATCCAACTTTATGAAAAAATATTATTGTTAGCTGCAGTGTTAAAAAATTCTTTTTAATGGCTAGATTTGTAGTAATTAATAAACACATATGTATAATAGTGTTATCTGTTTGTTATTTGACAGACTGAACAGCTCACCTTCCTGTGGATTCTTTTCGCCATGATTCTGGTTGGAAACGGTGGCGTCCTGATAACTTTAATGTTGTCCAAGAACAGAAAATCTCGAATGAATTTCTTCATTATGCAGCTTGCACTGGCTGGTAAGAATACAAGGAAACGACATGAGATTACTAGCAGAGTAGAGCATTGTTATGGAAGGTTTAAAAAATATATTAATAAGAATTTAAGTTAGGTGGGAAAACTGGGGTGGTTTCACTTTATTTTGTCCGACAGGTGTGGCTTTTGTCGCGTGTGTAGCCACTCCCTTCTGATCTGTTAAAATGTGAAATAAACAACTGCGTGATAAATCAGAGGAAACCAATACGATGATATTTCAGATATCTTTAACTCCAAATTTATATAATCTGTTTACAAGTCGAGTAATGACCAACTTTTGGTAAAACAACAACAACAACGTATCCATCTTAAAGGTACAGTATCTAATACGTTAAACAGGTCACAAAAGTTGTCTGTTACTGTTTGGCAAGTTGCTCGACTGGCCAGAAAAAATCCATGTTTCATGAGATTAACTAACTCGATTATTCACTTGTTGATATGTTATCCATGTTACGTGTGTAGTAGTAAGAGTGATAATGCTTTGGCATGGAAGTCTTCTTCTTCTGTGTATTGTGTTGGGTGTCTCACATTATTCGGGCAGATTGTCCAACACAATGTTGTTCTACCTGATCACACACTCTCGTGACATTATTGTTAAAAAAAATGACAAATACTGCAAAAGTAAATTTTCCCCCAAATTTAAAACCATAATCATATTCAAGCCATTAGCATTGCTATGCATAAGAGTAGGATACAAAAATAAGAGCCGGGGATGTGAGAGCCGTCTAGACGAAACCCCCTGAACCCCTAAATTATAGGTATTTATAAACATTATTTGATAACTTTATATGATACATTTATGTAGTCTTTCAAAGAAGCAGGAGTAGTAGTAGTAGAACAGCGTAGCTCTGGGGGGGGGCTTAAAGACACTCCCGCCCTCCAGGTTCAGATCCGGGGGAATTACTGGCCCCGGTTTCTACGACTATGGTATACTCTGAGACTGTCCAGTATAAAGTTCGGGTTCACCTGTAACAAAGTAGCCTTTAGTAAGCTTTCTCAACACTAATAACAAGCTGTTAACTGTTGTAATCTGTAATGTTATCCATCTGTCCCAAGTAACCCTAAGTTACGATATTAACTTCCTACTAAAACATTTGGTTAATCTTTTTTAATTAACATTCAACTTTGAATAACTGAAAATTTAGTAGTGTTAGCACTTAAAAACATCATGGTACTGTTACTGTATTGGTACATATATATTTTATACCAAGTGATGTGAAATGAAAACATGATACATATTCGTTGAGAAATGTTTTATGTTCATAAACTCTGAAAATGTATTTTAGCAATACATTAAATCAAATTTACAAATAGTGGTTGATTGGTTGGATTTACATTTGGTGTTTGTGTAAGAGCAATCTTGGTAAGTTACTTTTTTAAAAGAAATAGCTATTTTTCTGAAATATAGCCTTGCGAAACGTTATAGCGATGTATAACAGAGAGATGTTTTAATGGCTTGGTAACAACCTGTATGTTGGTGTGTTTTAAATGATTTTCAAACAAACCCAATATAGCTTTACAAAACCTTATAGTGGTGTATAACAAAGAGAAAGCTGGTAATAGTTAATAACCCATATGTTACTGTGTCTTTTACCTACTATTAATCTACAAAAAAGCCATAAGAATCGTCTGTCGTAAAAGAGACTATTTTCTTTCCTGGTGCATTTAAAGAAACAAAAAAGAAGCAGTTTAATGATAATGGTGGCTTAATGTCAAAGTAGAAGATAAAGTAAACGACAGCTACAGTTTCTCACGTAGTAGTAATCTGATCAAAAACACCTTAGGTATAAAAAAAAGGTGGGATCAAAAAATGGTTGAGCGTGCAACTTAAAGGAATGAAATCAAAATTGGCGGTCAAACTGTGCTACTGGGGGCGAACTGGTAGCTACACTTATAGCATTGATAACAAATTTACAGCAAATATTAATTCATTAGTTAGCTAGGCCGCGTATTTTGTTTTACCCACCATCATGCCTCAAGTTAAACAAAAAAAAATTGATTTCATTCCTTTAAGTTGCACGCTGAACCATTTTTTGGCCGCACCTTTTTTCACGCCTTGGGTGTTTTTGATTAGATATCATGACTTTTTGTCAATTCACACCAACAAACCATAGCAAGTAAAAAAGTGACACATTGACCCTTAATAGTAACCAACAATAGCTTTAGGATAGCAACCCTGTTATTCGGAACAGACCTATGTACATTATAGAACCAAGAAGATTCTTTCAAATATATGGTAGTAGCTTTTCCTCTCTAAAATAGTGTTATTGGCTTCCTTTATAGTAACGCCATGAAATTTAGATTAACAGTTTCTTGCCATCACCCCCATGCAATCGGTACAGCCGTACAAAGCATCATTATTTATGCTAATTGCTTAAGCTAATATCACGTGACGCTAAACGCTCTTTAATTCGGGTAACTTCATAAAATTTAACAAATCCGTGCTGAAAGGTTGGCAATCAATAATCAGTATTAACCGTACACCCGTATGATTATTTTGAAACCTTGAACCAGAAACTGCTAATCTAGTTTTCTTGGCCTAACCAATACTTGTGCATTTGCACGTCCTTTCACCTTATAGTTTTGCTGCTCTAAATCAGCCATCTTTAGTTCTAATGGAAAAGAAACTAAAAGCGGTTCTTACTTGCTTTTAGGTGAAGTTGTAGTAAAAATGTTAGATCGATAGGTCATGTGACTTTTAGCGTAGACGTGCACAAAAAGTTTCGTAAAATTTGAGAGGTTTTTGTTGTGGTTTATATTTATACCAAGTGAGACTCCTACTTTTAGGTTAAAAAGATCTATAAGTGTACCAAATTTGAAGAAAATCCATAAAAGTTAAGTATGTTTTTCTATCAAATAAAGTTTCCGTACTTTTGGTGCGAAGAAAAATATAGGAGAAACTTTAATCAAAATGGGAGATGTTATATCTCGGGTATTTCTTAATGGATTGCCTTGAAATTTTGTATGTGAAGTAAGTGTTAAGTAGAGCACATCCACAGTCGGAGATACAGGAGGTGAAAAATGACTAAACTATCACTCCTGTTAATGACACACAGTGTGTCCTGCAGGTTGTTTTGTCCGCACGACACATTATCGTGTGTCTTGATTTGTGGTTGGTCGTTGATTTTATTTTTCAAAGAACAAATATTAACTATAAATGGGCTAATTACAGGATATAAAACACAGCTGATCATTCTTTTTGTCTCAGTTGACTTGTTCTTGGACGTTTTTCAGATCTTATGGTAGGATTGATCCAAGTCCTGACAGATATTGTATGGCGTACGTTTGTAGATTTCTATGGTGGGAATATTGTGTGCAAAACTGTCCGTTACCTACAGGTTTGTTTTATTATTATTATCAACTTCTTATTAAAAATTGAGTTAGCTATATAAACAAGACAACCCTGTATAATAATATTACTATATTATTTAATGCGATAAATCAAAACTGAAACCTATATACTACTCAAAAATTTCTCAAGACCGCTTTCCAGAACGATTATAACACATAATACGTGGCTACTAATCAGTTGATAACTACTGGTTTTATTTATTTTATATGTCCTCAAACACAAACAAACTCAACTAAATCTTTCCCAATATTGATATATTTTAGTACTGAGAAACAGTGATTTCTAGTACCTTGGAGGAAGATAATTTTTATTTTACCTTAATTATATTGTTTCTACTATTAAAAAACCATTTATTGATACACATATTTATGATATTAAACCATTTGATTTACAGAGAAAGTCATTGGTTTTCTTCTCAGTATTTAACATAATGTTAAGAAAAAATCCACAAACATTTACAAACTTAATACACAAAAAAAAAAACTATAGAAGCGAGCAATCTGAATAGCTTGTGTTTACTAAAATCTGAATGTATTCCAGAATAGCAGAAAAGCATTTAAATATGATATAAACTTTAAAAAAAATGGAAACAGTTACAGTCTTTATTCTTATCGGCTTTTGGATATCAAAGTCATGTTTGCCTTTAATGAAGAACGTACGCTATCAGATTCAAATTTAAAATTTACATACTGGACCACAACTAAAAAATAAATTGTAGTACGTTGCATTTTGGGACGAAAGTCTCTGTAATAACAGTATTAGTTAACTATCGAAATGTAATTTATATTTACATACACACATGTACGCACATATATTTCTTTCAACTCAAAATGTTTTTCTTTTATACAAGTTTTCATTCGCAAAGGTGATTTATACTGAGCAAGACTATTTGTTCTCTGTTCTGGGTTAACATCTTCTTGGGAAAGTTCTTCATCATTGTGATCCAGAACGCCTGAGACTCTTGTCTCGCACCGAATAATTAGTTTCGGAAATGAAAGTAGCAGGCACTATGAAACTATGGTGGTGATTGATCTTAACCAACCATTCTTTCTCAGATGCCCGGCTGATAAATCGCTGTTCTGGAAACCCGGATAACAACGTTCACCCTTTATAACTGTCAAGTAGTATCCCGTTAGGTGGAGTTTTATAGGGGTGTTCATATATATATATATGGGAAGAAATAAAGATAGAAAGTTCAAAAAGTTTGGAAAAAACGTGAAAAATTCAATTCAATTTTAATTCGTTCTGATTGATACAGATATGTAAGAAAACTATATATATCTACACAATGTATATATATATATACATGCAATTATGTTTTGGCTTATGTTCATCATTTAAGTAAATCTTCATTTCCTTTAATAATATATTTACAAATGTACGTGTATATGTAGGTGTTGCACAGTTCAAAGGAATATTTCATTCGGAAATTTAATTCTTTAAAGATTATTTGCTTCCAAAATTGGAGCTATGTGATATATTTCTTAGCTACTAAAGTTAATTAATGTATAATGTTTCTACCGATAGAATAAAATTAATGTTGACATTTGATGGCAGATTTAAAATCATCTACACGTTATTTTGTTTTTTAGGTTAGATAATAACAGAAGTTGTTAAGCTACTTGTATTTGTTCTGTGCTTTTCCCATTTTTTAACATTTAAAAGAAAACTGAACTGTACGATTTTTTATAAAGTAATATCTGATAATAATTTTGTTCGTTTATCACAGGTTTTAGTTATGTATTCCTCCACTTACGTTCTGGTGGCGCTGAGTATCGACCGATATGACGCTATTACGCACCCAATGAAATTCTCAGGAAGTTGTAGGTTTATAGGTTTACACGAATAATAATAAGTATATATATATATATATATACTAAGGTTAATAAAAATCTGTGAAATACTCAATTTTCACTGAAATATATGAATTGTGTTAGTATTCATTCACCTGGTATTCAGGGTAAGCATAATTATATTTGTATAATTAGGTAATTTTAATTCATTTTTTATCAGCGACGAATGTATTACGTGTAGTATAAATATTATGTACTATGTGACTGTTACGTTTATATTAATATATTTGTCTAGCTTTCATTTTAAAATTGGTTTAATTTGTCTATGCTAGTCCACAAGAGAACAGACTATGAAATATTTATGATTATATAATATTTTATAATTATATAACTCCTGAAAGAGCTGGATGAACTAGTTGGTTGGAAAATATTTCAAAGGCAAGTGTTTCATAATGTTTATGAAGAATAACATTTGTCCACTTCTTGGCTTAATGATGCTATTATTTAACAAAGTTAATTCTTTATAAATGATTACTTCTGTGTCAACTTATACATCAAAATAAATGTATAGTTTAATTTCCCCGTATCTTGTAAATAAGATATAAAGAAACGAAAAAGATACGGGTGGAGTTTTTTTTTTTGTTATAAATATTTATTTACTTTATAGTTTGAACATTCTAGACATGTTCAGAAATAATGATTCAATAAAACAAACCTGCTTGTTTTGTTAGATACGACTTTTCTCTTTTATGAAACAGTTACAATTATCTTAATCGTAGAGACACGTTCGCTGCCATATGCTCTACCGGTGGGTCACTTTAGTTATGGACCGCGTGACACACCGGTTGACACATATTACATGTAGCTTCAATGAGCTAATTAAACAGAGTATAGTTTATTACTCATATAAACATTAGACACCTGGGTTAAAGAAAAAATATAAGGATGGTTGATACTAGGGTAGGAATTATTAATACAAATGGTAGCAGCGAACATGTTAAGAGAAAGATATAAGTATGGTTGAGATTATGGTAGGAATTATTAATACTACTGGTAGCAGCGAACATGTTAAGAGAAAGATATAAGTATGGTTGAGATTATGGTAGGAATTATTAATACTACTGGTGGCAGCGAAGGTGTTAAAGAAAAAAATATCTAATGATAAACTTGTTGTATGTGATTTCTAACATTATTCATTCGCCCAACTAGGGAAGAGAGCTAAAATTCTGATTAGCATAGCTTGGGGTATCAGTGCCCTAGCGGCGAGTCCAGCAGTTTTTCTGAACAAAGAATCCATTATCAAAGGACGACTGCAGTGTTGGATCAACATGGAAAACTGGCAATGGAAAATTTACATGTCTCTAGTTGCTGTTTCGGTGTTTTTTCTACCCACAGTTGTTATCTCTGGATGCTATTCAGTTATAGTATACACCATTTGGACCAAAAGTAAATCTTTTTCTGATTCTAAAAGCAGAAAATCAACGTGTACATTGAAAGGTGCGATGTACTTGATATATCTACATATATATAATATCTAGATAAAGTAAAACTTCTAGAGACGATATCTTCTTAAGTAAACATTTAATAAAAACTCTAAAGTTTATAAGTTCAGCTGATAAACTTCTGTGTATTTTAATGGTAAGCCTGAGCGTCTATGTCAGAAAATGTTTACTAACAAAAAACCGGATGACATTGTACAAGTTGCGGTAGCAGTAGAAACTACTGTTATCAAGTGCACATGTTTTCATGAATAAACTACCTAAATGAGCTTCTTCCCAAGCATATTGGTACGTTAGATTCATGTAAAACCTTTGTACTTTAGATTCATTTAAAACCTTTGTACTTTAGATTCATGTAAAACCTTTGAACTTTAGATTCATGTAAAACCTTTGTACTTTAGATTCATGTAAAACTTTTGTACTTTAGATTCACGCAAAACCTTTGTACTTTAGATTTACGCAAAACCTTTGTACTTTAGAGTCATGTAAACCTTTGTACTTTAGATTCACGTAGAACCTTTGTGTACTTTAGATTCATGTAGAATCTTTGTGTACTTTAGATTCATGTAAACCTTTGTACTTTAGATTGATGTTAAACCTTTGTACTTTAGATTCTTGTAAAACCTTTTTACTTTAGATTCACGTAAAACCTTTGTACTTTAGAGTCATGTAAACCTTTGTACTTTAGATTCACGTAGAACCTTTGTACTTTAGATTCACGTAGAACCTTTGTGTACTTTAGATTCACGTAGAACCTTTGTGTACTTTAGATTCATGTAAACCTTTGTACTTTAGATTGATGTTAAACCTTTGTACTTTAGATTCATGTAAAACCTTTGTACTTTAGATTCACGTAGAACCTTTATACTTTAGATTCACGTAAAACCTTTGTACTTTAGAGTCATGTAAACCTTTGTACTTTAGATTCATTCAAAACCTTTATCTCCTGTTGTGTTAAAGATAAGTCTACGGACTTGCAACACTAAAATCCGAGATTCGATTTCACGCAGTGGACAGAGCGCAGATAGCACAATGTGTAGCTTTGAGCTAGAAAATAACAATATCCAAAGCTTTTTCCATTAAATGATTATAAAACAATGAAACAATGATGCACTTAAAATTAATTATAACTTTTCTAGAACATCGCGTTCACTGAATTCTAAAGATTTTATCAAACACTTGTGTAGAAATCTTCTCTTTGTAACTTCTTGTAAACAGCTCCTGTATAAACACATATATCGTTTTACTTGACTAACATGATATTAAAGCACATACTTGTAATGATCTTTTTACAGCAATTGATATAGAGGAGATGATCAACAATGCATATAATTATTTACTATTGTAGTATAAAAGAGAGCTCACAAACGTAGGAGATATATAGAATTATGATCAATTGATATTTTAAAGGTATCTTCTGAAAGATATTACTTTGAAATTAGGTTTTCCATCATTGGTTTGTGACACGAAAAATCAGTCATACTTTCACAGTTGAATCTACGGTTAAAGTTACGTGAGCGGCAGGTTGAAACTATTAGTCTATTTATGTAGCTGACGTAATGAAAACTATACATTAAATACTGCAACGTGTATTAATATGCATCTCTTCGCATGATGACGAATGCATTGAGTTTGGAGACTATATACAGAGTAACATCAATTGACGTAGATGCCTTTTGTATAGTATATATTCACGATCCAATCCAAGGAAGTATAGAATTTTCTTAGCCTGCTCTTCATACAAATTCATTATATTCATGCAATCGAAATGCTTAAAGGTTTCTTAGTTACTGCGTCAATCGTTTAAATTCACTTTTATACTAAAGGTTACCACAGAGTAAATATGAATCATCCCAAATAAGCTGTTTCATCTATCGAATATATGCTGATAGCATGCGAAGATGACGCCGTGTGGTAAACTTGAATAGTACAGCCTTTGTATTTGAACTCAGTGATAGCTTTTTGTACATACCTCCCATCCAGAAACGTATCGATTGAGGCTTATGAATGAATTATCAAACTCAAAGTATGTTATTCAGTTTCCTATTAATAGAATCAGAATGCTGTTAGAGATTAGCTGCAGACACCAGGATTTCAAAGCACAAACTTTGGGAACGTATTAATTCATGGGTTATTTTAAACGTATCCATATAATTTTCGTTAAATATAAACTTTTCTATTTGTCATTTCATTGATTGATTCTGTACGTGATCTGCAGGATGGATACAATACATTGGTCTAAGGTCATTTGTTTCATATGAATTAAAAATACGTTTCTATAGACCAATAGTTATTAAGGGATTTTGTATTTTTTTTATAAATTCTCAGAAATGCTCTCGAAGCCACTCATACTGCTGTTAATAACACTCGTATATATGTATGTCATAATACCAATCAGTCTTATACATTCTCACTTTTACACAGATTCTAATAGTAGTGGTAATTTATTGTAGCAATTTTCTTAATATATTTTTAAACTGTATTAATTTCAAAATATTTTCTCTAAAATGGCTCTTAAGCTAAGAGCAATGGGTTCAGAACATTTTGTATTTCAGTATATGAGTGAAATAGTAACAACTGCAAAATACGCTTACTTTTTGTTATGTCTCCTTCGAGAAACTTACTGTTTTTCTATTGTTTAGTCTTCCTCCAAACACTTTTCAATCGACCTCTATTCCTTCATTTCTCGGCAGATTGACTTGAACTTCAGAAGGATAATGCCTTGTTTCAATAAGCCCATCTTTTTAAAATTGTTTAAGCCTTTTTAAGGACTTTATAGGGTCAAATGCCAAAAACAACCCAAAAATGTATATTTTGTACTCCTATGCGATCATATTTACAGTAATCAAGATGAAAATTGGCACAAGTTTAAATTTTCATGCGCCAAACACACTGACATGCAAGAAACTTGAAGTTTCCAATTTTTAGTCTTTTTAGGGGTCAGGGCTAAAAAAATGATAATTTTGGGGTTTTGATCAATTACTCGACCATATTTTGACAAAAATAGTGGACTTTCCCATTTTAGTAATTATAGGGAAGTCAAGATGCCATGAAAAGCATAATCTTAAGGTTTTTTGACAAATACTTCACCGTATTTCGGTTATTTGGTATATATATATATAAAATGTAATACATGCCCGTTTTTGATCAATTTTGGGAGGGCAAAAGGTAAAATAATTTTAGGGGTTTTGGTCAATTACTTAACCTTGTTTCGACCAATTTATATGGAAACTGGTACAAAGATACTATTTGCAGATCCCAAACAGAGATATAGACAACTTTGGAATTTTTGTCTTTTGCTCAACATTTCAGTGACGTGGCTTAGTGTTTTTTAGCATGTTCCCTTAAATTTGTTATTACATCTCAGCAGTAGTTGGCAAGTTGAAAATATCTGATATGCTATTGACAAGTTGAAAATATCTGATATGCTATTGACAAGTTGAAAATATCTGATATTCTATTGGCAAGTTGAAAAATGAAATGCTATTGGCAAGTTGAAAATATCTGATATGCTATTGGCAAGTTGAAAATATCTGATATTCTATTGGCAAGTTGAAAATATCTGATATGCTATTGGCAAGTTGAAAATATCTGATATGCTATTGGCAAGTTGAAAATATCTGATATTCTATTGGCAAGGTGAAAATATCTCATATGCTGTTGACAAGTTGAAAATATCTGATATTCTATTGGCAAGTTGAAAATATCTGATATGCTATTGGCAAGTTGAAAATATCTGATATTCTATTGGTAAGTTGAAAATATCTGATATTCTATTGGCAAGTTGAAAATATCTGATATTCTAAAATGTAACTGCAGATTGAGATTTTATAGAAAAGAATCTCTTTATCTTGTTATTACAATAATATAAGTACATTTCATTCAGCTTTGGTTTGATAATTATAAGTCTATCTTATAATTCTTATAATAATATCATAATTCTTACAATAAGAAGTAACCCTTTTTCATTCTGTTCTCATAGGTCGCAAAAAATATATATAAAAAAATAAGCTGCGAAGCCATACATGCATTATAAAAGTGACGATCAAATCCCACTATTCGATAAAAGTAATCCAAGATTTGGTTGATGGTGCGTGCTGTTTAATATATATACCATCCCTTTCATTTGTCAGTTCTAAATTAGGGAGGGGTAGCTCAAAGAGTCCTTGTGTAGCTTTGCGCGAATATCCGAACCAAATCAAATCCCCACGACCTTTAATGATAACTTTAAACAAATTGTGGGGTTTAGCTACATCCATTTGTCAAGAACTCGATCTGTTATGCTTAATCTATCATCAGTCACTAAATCTATATCTTCCTTTATGCTGTGTCCAATCGTCAGATCTTTTTTTCAACCCAGCACATCATAATAACAACAGGTGGTTTGAGCGTGTAGTGTATCATAAAAAAAAATATATATACTATATACTTGAATTTCGACAGTTTCATTTCAGGTCTATCTAAGACGAATCTAGTTAAAATACTATTTTATCAGGCTTATAAAAACGTAAACGCGTATGAATATTTACATAAATAAGTAGTAAAATTTCAAAATAATTTTTAAATGAAAACGCTCTTCCAAGTAATATGTTTGATAGCATAATACATAATTATTGAAATTTTCCAAGTAATATGGTTGATAGCATAATACATAATTATTTGAGTTAAAAAAACATGAACAAAAAACAGACGGTTAATGTAATATTAGTATATATTGGCAAACACAGATTGAATGTAAAACATGTGTTGTTTAAGTTCTTTATTGATTTTTTGTTTCTTTGAATTTATGCACAAAGAAACACAATGGGCTATATGTGCTCTGCCCACCACGGGTATCGAAACCCGGTTTCTAGCGTTGTAAGTCCGCAGACATACCGCTGTGCTACTGGGGGGGGGGGGCTTTATTGATTTTAGGTAAGAGTTTTTACCTGAAAACAGAATACAACTATTTTAAGGTATAATAACAAAGTTTCATCTTTAAAATTACATAATATAATA